TACTTTTTATTTAACAAAACATACACACAGTAATCTCTCCTGTCTAAAGGTCCCTGATCACCAGTTAACTACACATACATGGGGAGTTAAATCTCCCATTAAAGCAATGTTTTTGTAATAAGTGATAATTAAACCTTATTTGCACAAAATAAAGCAGGTAAAAACATACCGTGTGATAATGAAAGGATGCTCACACACACACGTTTAATGTTAGACCTATAAATAATCAGTTTAAAGAATGGTTAAAGCGAAAGCAACCAGTGCTGCTTACAAAAAGACAAATCTGGAACTCTTGAAAGCAGCAAGACCGTGGATGCATGTTCATCACTTTTTGTCTTGTCTATTTGAAAGAGACCGTTCACATCAGTTGTATTTCTAGACACAGTTGCTTCACGCAAGGAAAAAGGAGCGCGCATCACATCAGCTGTTAGCGCAAGTGATTATCCTCTCATATTCCCCTGCTTTCTATTGCTTGCACAAACACAATGATATTTGTCAGCCGTGTTGCTTCTCAGTTCTAAGATCGCCTTTTCATGCATATTGGACCATCCTTATTGTAAAACCCTGCTTTTAAGAACTATTATCCGGGAAAATTATTTTTTAACCAGCCAAAGTGACTAGTGGGAGTGTCTGTCTTACCCGCCACCACTGAAATTTACCTGCATTTGGCGAGTTGGCGGGTGTAAATGCCAAGCCCTGCATTTGTACATATTTATTTTGTATTGAACACACACTGTTTGCTTGCATGCACAATTTTATGTCAGTGTTAATGAGTGCAATCCACTTAAATTCATGCTCTAAATTTGTTTGTCCATTTTACAAAGGTATATTTTCTTGCTTTAATGACGTATATTAAAAAAAATACATCAGAAAATCTTCTTATGTTACAATTTTTATTGCGAAAAAACAAACAGTATTCCAATACAAATTGTTACATGTTGTTTGTTGTTTTTTTTTTTTTACAAAAAAGAAAAGCAAAATATTTAAAAAAGAAGAAAATTACAGCCTACTATATGCAGTCATTCAACAATGACAATCAAATGTTCAGATACAGTTAATGTTGAATGTAAATATACACAATGAACAGTATAAGATAATAATAGTTAAAAACAAACAAAAATTGAATTACTCAAAAATAAATCATTTAAAAGGAAAGAGAGTGCATCTGTTAAATGGAAGGCAAGATGTTAAGAGAGTTAAAGTAAATGATAAAACATTGCTACTTTTTAAAGAAATTAGTTTCCCCAGAGCATCTAACATGGTCTCAATGCATGGTATCTACAAGCCATTGGGATGCAATTGGAAACTTGTTTGATTTTCAGTGAAGTAGAATACAACACCTAGCTAACACCTAGGAAGTCAATGAAGCAAAAACAGCCACCAACAGTAAATTAAGGAGAAAATTTTAAATCTAACAATGCATCAAAGGCAATGTTGTTATAAATCATTCACATGTCCAAGACTTTGACAAAAGGGCAAAAAAGTCAAGTCCACAGTTACTTTTTATATTGAAAATATGTCATTTTGTGTGTTTTTTCCACCAAATCAATTACACAATTTATTAATTTGGCAATAAACGAGCTGAAATCATGTAATTTTCCAAGCAATTTTGTAGTTTTGATTGCGACTGAGGTTGATTAACAGATTTATGCAAAAAAAAAATATTTCGGATGCATTTTTACAGCAGTTTAATTCAGTGGATGTTTTTATCCCGAACATAACAAAAGGGAAGTGAATTTGCCCAGAGTGTTTCGTTGAGTTCTTTAAAAATTCAAAGCATTTTCTTAAAATCTCTGTCCAAATAAGATTTGTCACCAAAAACATTCTGCTACCTGAAAAAGTTATGACCAAATTAAGACTCAAAATCACCCCAGAGTGGATGAAAACATCCCCAACAGTACATATGTGTTTAACGATTTTAGTGCAAAACCCTTTCAGAAGTGTACATTGAGTAATAAGATATCCACTATTCATATAATCCTCACCCCCACATGAAAAATGATAATAAAAATAACTTAAATTAATGAAGTTGTAATTAAATAAATATCAAATAATACAAAAATAACTTTAAATACAAAATTAATTTTAAAGACTTGTATTGCGAACGAGGTCTGAAAATCTCTGGTGCATTTATTTTTTTATTTTTTTGAAATAAATACAGTATTAACTTTTTAATGACCTCCAGATCTGCTCGTAGGATTTATGGGAATGTCTGCAACGCTAAACTAAAATGACATCTAAATCCATAAGCTCCTGGTACATAGCTTTTAGAGTAGCAGAGCATAGTTGTAGATGTAGTGTGTTGCCTCCCAGCAGACATGAAGAAAAGATTGTGATGGTGGTCATGTGCATCTAGTCCCATGACTGCCGTGTCTGCATGTAGTATGAAGCCCGAGACCAGATGGCATGCCAATTTCACGCACACACACACACTGATAGACTTAGTTCAGCTGCAGTTTTGTGCTCTGCGAGGTCGGGCTTGTAATGAATCCAATTACTGTCCACTCAGTCCAGCTCTTGTGTAGTCATACTAGTGCCAATTTAGCCTTCTGATTCAATTAGAGTCTCAGGAAAGACCTCTGATCTAAGGTGAAGCTGCAGATGTTTACTGCACCGTGAGAACATGCTCTCAAAGGCTAAACATGCTAAGGTGCAAAGCTTAGTATGATTAATACATTTCAAGGCAAACACACAGATTAAAACAAAGTTTTACCTTCATTGGTTTGTATTTTTTGCTTTTCCAAGCTTCTTGCAGTCATTGAATATTGCATATGTACTGCAGTGCTTATGAACAATTGCAAAGAAGAGTTGTAGTTAGTTGAAAGTGTGAATTTTTATCTTCAAATTTCTAAATGAGCCTCTGGAAGTCGCCACTGGCTTGCATGGTTCAGGAACCGTAGAGTTGCACATCGACGGATTTGCTCTTAAGTGTTTGGACTCTCAGTATTGAATATAAACCACACTGAACTGAGCTAAACTGAACTGAACTTAGGGTGCTTTCACACCTGCCTTATTTAGTTCGGTTAAATCGCACCAGAGTTTGTTTTCCCTCTTGGTGCGGTTCATTTGGGCAGGCGTCCCACATCATTGATGTGTATTATTTGTGGGTAGTTTTGGTTACACAATAAAATGTATTTGGTATTTAATCCTGTACTATCTCAGAAAAGAAAGGCTGATTCATACTTCTGATTTGACACATTGTGCAAGCTCTGTGATTGGTTGACTTGCTAGCAGTGATGAGTGGACCAGTATAGGATTCCGACGGTATGATAACCTTGGATAAAAATATCACAGTTTGACAGTATTCTGTTTACTGCTCTAAAATATATTCTTTTTAAAATATCTGGGTAAAAAAACTAAAACTTTTCCCCCCTTTGAACACAATATATTTTATTTTGAGAAACATTTATAATATTTTGGAACAGTAAACACGTCAAGCTAAATAATTCAAATGAATCTTTGACTTCTGCTGTTTTCATTAGTTTCAAAAACACTGATTTCTTACCATTTAAAATGGCATCTTTGGAGATCTTTTCTGTTGGAGATATTGTGGTCCAATAATAATAATAATAATAATAATAAAAAGTAAATAAAACATCTTACATATACATTAGGAATGGTATAGCATAAAATTTTTGAAACCTTGACTTTTCCAATGGTATACCTTGAAAACCGTTATCGTCCCATGCCTAACGATGGGTGTGGGGGATGCTGAGAGCCGCAAACTTGAAACTTTACAAGTGTCGTGTCCCGTGAAGAAGCTCCAGATTGAAACTTTTGTTTTGTGTTTACCTTATTAATAAAGTAGTTGGTTCCCACCTCTGAATATACCCATAAAGAAACTTTACACAGAGAAACATAAAAACCTGACTGCCAGCTAGCCTTTCAGAAATGTTATTGCAGAGCAACACAAACAGTGCGCAGAAGTACTGTATAAATGCATGACTACATACAAGGCAGGTGCCATGGGTCACAGCGATCGATTGACGCAGAAGTTTAAATCAGCCTTAAGACTGTTTATATCCCTTATTTCACACACATTATTATCATATAAGCAAAGTTCAATATATATTGAACTTTAATTTGTATTCATTTATATACAAAATATTAATACATATAGCAGTTTCAGTAAATGAAGTCTTAATGAATTCAAATCTAAAGTATTTTGACCTTGCAGTTACTAAGTTTTTATGTGTGCCAAATGTATTCATTTTATTAGTGCACGTCTTAAAAAAGGTCTTAAAGTCTCACATTTAATTAAAAACTACATTTGAAAAATTCTGCTGATTCGGTACCCTGCTTAATTGAGCACTGGCAGGAATAGCAGCCAGCAGGGGCTTAACACACTCGATATTGTTCAGTTTTTACCTTGGTTACATAATCTTTGGTTATCTTTTTTCCGCCCAAACTGCTTGTACTTATGCTTATACCTGGGCTAGCAGTTATTCCTGCATACTTTGGTTTCAGAAATGTGCAGATTTTCAACCCTTTTTTTGCATAATCGTGAAGCTATTGTAATTAACATTGGTGGAATTACAAAAAATAGAAATCCGTAGGTGTGTGTTTCTGTTGTGGTTCCTCATTTTTAGCTGTTTGGCAGGATGCTGAAACTAAACATCACATGAAAGTTACAGTGACTGAACAAAGCATATGAATGTTTATTGAAGTATGAAGTGAGGCACTGCAATTCATGACAGGTTTCATGTTGGTAAACCCTTCTAGCTAATACACATGGGTGTAAATATGGTGCTGACCCCCAGCAAAGTAATTGTTAAATGCAATAAAACATGATTTATCCTGCATTAACAATGGTTTGATGACCTTTAATAGACTGTTACTTGTGGCAGTGTTTATGTAATGTTTAGGTTGAATGAAAGCCCATGAAAAGGGTGCATCAAACGTAGCTGTGTTCTATTTGAGCTGTCAAGCATGTCACTCATTCTTTTTTTGCAACTGACGCCCAGATCATTGACTAATCGGAGTGTTTTCTGTTTTTACAGACGTTCAAGCCTCTGGTGGGGAAGACAGTGTTCGGGTCCATCACAGCCATCGAGTTCTTCTCTGACAGACACCTGGACTTCAATGCGGATGAAGGAGCCTGTCAGCCCTATCAGGTAACGTTTGCTTTGCATTGTCTTTCACATGCCTGGGTTACGCGAGTCTGCATTTACACTGAGCTAAAAGATGACCTCTCCAGCATCTCTGTCTAGATGGGAATCTGAAGAAGCCTTGTCAGTCTAGTATTGTCTTCCAAGATAGATCTTCTGGATAATTTTGGTAAAAGGTGGCCTAAAACTGACATTTAAAAATAAAATAGGGTGAGACCTAAAGTGTTAGTTCACCTAAAAATGAAAATGATGTTAATAAATAATCACCCTCATGTCATTCCAAACCCACGTTCTCGAACTTCGTAACACAAATGAAGACAAGAGCCCCTTTCACACAGTGATACTGGTAAATATCCGGAATTTTTTTGTAACTACTTTTCCGGTAAATTCAATAAAAGCGCTACTCACACAAGCAAGGACGTTAACCAGAAATATGCTCCAAATGGTTGTATTTTTAAACATAGAAGGGGTCTGACTTTTGTTGATGGTTTGATTTTTATTTAAAGCTTTTGCATTTATGCAGCTGCTTTGTCCCAGAGACATCCACAGGCAGAAGCGCGAACCGCAGCTAAATGTGTACAAATTTGACTACATTACAGATTCTGTGAATGGATAAGTATTGTGAGCAACTTCGATGAAAATATAAGGAAGAACACTTTTTTTATGTTGAGATGTACATAATATGTGTGCTGGCGCTCACCGGAGCATCTTTTCACATGCACACGTGTCAAGCAACTAAAGCAGAGCTTGAAGGTAAACAAACATCGGTTTATCATAAACATTTTCTCAATATTTTTTTACACATAGATACGTTATCTGACTAACATTTATTCATTTATTTTCTTGTCGGCTTTATTCCAGTCCCTTTATTCATCCGGGGTCGCAACAGCGGAATGAACCGCTAACTTATCCAGCAAGTTTTTACGTAGCGGATGCCCTTCCAACCGCAACCCATCTCTGGGAAAATCTGACTAACATATAGTAGCTAAATGTGTCTGGAAAAATAATATTTTCATAAACAGCGTGGATGTCAATGCATCTGAATGCTAAGTCCTGAGTTCTAATGCATCTGAGTTCTAATCGTGAACTCGCTCTTCCCGGCAATTTTCCTTCTGCGTTCACACAGAGCAGCATTCCAGAAAATTACTGGTAATGTTAAGATTTTTCATTCCAGAATATTGCCGTAACGAATTTGAGGGTATTTTCAAAAAAGACACATGATCCCTTTTTGGAAAATTGCTGGTAAAAAGGTCCTTTTTTAAGTGAAATCTGAGATCTCCCTCATGTGTCATTAACAGGAAGTATTTTATTTTACTAATAAAGATATTCTCGTCACATCAACTGAAGCAACAGTTACTGCTATTGAGTCAATAATTGTTTTTTCTTTTTAGCGGATGATTTTTTTCAAATTTGCAAAATAATTAGTTCTAGTTAGCATATCACCCTGTTCTTAATCCCTGTCCCTGTTCTTAATCATTACAAATGACAAATACAAGCTTACTACTTCATTCATTTTCCTTTGGATTAGTCCCTTTATTAATCAGGGGTCGCCACAGCAGAATGAACCGCCAACTTATCCAGCATATGTTTTACACAGCGGATGCCCTTCCAGCTGCAACCCAGTACTAAGAAACACACATTCACACGCAGACACCTGTACCACATATCTTTGGACTGTGGGAAACCCTCGTGAACACAGTGATGCCAGGGCTCGAACTAGCGACCGGGCAACTGTGCTATCCACTGTGCCACTGTGTCACAAGCAACAGATAAACGAGCTTAGTTTTCAATATTCGCATCATGTATGCGTGAATTATTTAAATATCACCCCTCCTGTTCAACACAAAAATGTTTAGCGAACACTTTAGCGAATATTGTCGACAACTTTTTCTGTAGATCAATAGTTATTCACAATATATATGACAGAAAAAATACAGTGTGCTGAACAAATGGTGATTTTGTTTTTTACAATGCACCTAAAGCATCTTAATTTGTGTTTCAAAGATGAACAAAGGCCTCAGGGGTTTGTAGCGACATGAGGATGAGTAATTAATAACATACTTATCATTTATGGGGGAACTAATCCTTTAATTTTGTTCCTGTGGGATCAAGTTGGAATGTTAAAGGTGAACGTGATCTCATGTGACAGGTTGTCCCACATGGGAACACATAATCACAAAATATATACAGTATTGCTGCAAGTGTGAAGGCAAGATATTTAGATTGAATATTAAGGTACATTAATAAAGAGATGGCATTTATAGCTGTTCTATAATAAATACTGCAATATTCCCTTTCAAAGTTGCTCATTTTGGTTCCATCGGGTTGTCCGTCCTTGTCTCGCATTCCTCCAAATCCCCCGCCATCAGAATACATCTCCTCCAGCTTCCACTAATGGCTCCTGCTGGCTGGATGGGTATATACAAGCTGGTCAGCTACATGAGCTTGCCTCCGTGGGCGCTTCATGCTCGGCGCGCTAATAAGGACAACAAACAGCCTCTTCCATTGTTCTGCGCTAAGCCACTCTCATAAACAGCTTAATTAATCTAGCTTAGATAAAACACACAGTGGCAGAGAGAGCGGCTCTGAAAACAAACACACATGACAGATGGGAGGAGACGCTCTCCACTGCTGGATTCATATTCACGACATGCTTTATCCCCAGTGTTGCGGGCTCACCTCCATCCTGCACGGCGGATAATGAAAAGCCATCTGCCAGCAAATTATCGCTGCTCTCTCTCCCCTCCCCTGAACCCAAACCTGGGTGTAACGTGTGCAGGGGAAATTGTTGTGATATTTTTTGAAGGGAATAATGAAACAGTTCTTTTTTATGTGTGTGTGCGTGTGTGTGTGTGTGAGTACTGCAGTGGCGTGCTTTACTTTGCATGCTTTCAGCGTTCACATTTCCGTAGGTGATGCAGACTAATCTAGTTTAAATCTGCGGGGAGGTTTGTGGTTAATCTCAGCAGGAAGCAGAAACAAAGAAAGTAAATGCTGATGGGTTTTGGGTTTATAATAGACGATGCGCATGTATTATTATGATAGGATTAAAAACTTAGTTCCAAAACTTTACCATAGCCATGCTTCTGATCTGAGGATCAATAAAAGATGTCTTGTATGTAATGGGCAAATCTTTATTTTTTCTTTCACTCTACATTAGAATGTATCCTGTACATTTTTACCATGTTAAACAGAAGAGACTAGCTAAAATGTTATCAGGTAGCACCGTATTTTGTATTTCAACGCAATTTTGTCAGGCACAATATCAGAATCAATTCATGTTTGCAGTGTTGGGCAAACTGCTTGAAAAATGTAGTGAGCTAAGCTAATAAATACTCCACTTAAAATGTAACTTAACTACACTAAAAGCTAGCTTCTGTGAAATGTAGCAAGCTAAGCTAAAAGCCACTTGGCAAAAGTAGCTTAGCTACATCAAAGCTAATTTTGCAATTGTCATTTTTAAATCGAAGCAACTTAAATCTAAGTCAATCAGATCTTAGTGATCAATAAAACTGTCAATGAAACATATGAGGCAGAATTGTTCAGTTCAATTATTTACTGCAATAATATGCGGTACTAAACAGAAACACATGATAGTATATAAAACAGCAAAAACAGAAAATCCAATAAACTCAGGTGTTACAAACTTAAAATACTTTAGTAATTTATATTAGAGGGAAATATTTAGCAAGGAGCATTATATTGTATTTATATTTACAAATCTTTGTTAATGAATTACACTACATAATGTAGCATTAGTAACTATCATGAACTAATAGTAATTGCCATAGTATACTTCAGCTTTTACTACAGTAAACTATATATATATATATATATATATATATATATATATATATATATATATATATCTGTGTGTGTGTGTGTGTGTGTGTGTGTGTGTGTACTAATTGCATCCTTAGATGTATTCATATACATTATGAGTTATGGTCACAAGAAATCCTGCTTCAGAAATAACTGCTTTCCCTCAGTCATCTTTCCATCAAGCAATATTCTTGTGTTTGCCTAATTAGTTGGCGACGTCACCGACAAGAGCAAGAGGTGGCATTAGCACACCAAAAAGTTTGTTGTCAACCACCAAAAAACAGGAAGAAGAAGAAATCGACATCCTCGCCATCATATGGATTTACTTTCTTTAGCCAGACACCGGCCTCACAGCTCCGTAAATGTCGGTGCCGTTACTTATTGATCCTCGATTGGTAAATGCAGCATGTGTTGATGCTATTGCGCTACTTGATTAAAAAATGGCTTCGCTACTGAAAAGCTATTTTTTTCCCCCAACTTTATTTATAGAAATTTTCAAAAATTTACAAATATCACACATTTTTGAATATTATTGTACATTTTGACATAGAGAGAGAGAGAAGTAAACAAGGATCTAAATGAGTATGACAATTATTAACCCCAGATATATTTATATAAAAAATAAAAAATAAATAAAAATTAAACAACAACAACAGAAGAAATAAAATAAAATAAAATGCCAACCAACCATAACAATTGTTTATACACCAAACTAAAAGCCTGGTCTTGATGTCACATGAGATGTCACACAGCAGAGAAAAATGTCAAAATTAACTATCATCCAGTATGCAGGGAGTATACATTTCCATATATTCAAGGAGAGAGCCCCACATTTTATAAAAGTTTTTAGAAGAACCCTTCAAACAGTGTCTGATTTGTTCCAGTTTTATGAAGAGAAAAATGTCATTAATCCACATGGAGTGAGTAGGTGGAGCAGCTGACTTCCAATGTAGTAAAATACGGCGTCTGGCCAGGAGGGACACAAAAGCCACAAAATCTGCTTTGTATCGTGAACAGTGAACTGACAAAGGAAGTGTACCAAACAGTGCTGTTGTAGATACAGGTTTAATTGCTTGTCCAACTACTTGAGACATTGTCTCAAATATTTCTGACCAATATCCACATAGAGTTGGGCAAAACCAAAACATATGTGCCAGTGTTGCAGGAGCCTGGCGACAACGGTC